AATCACAACTGAACAGTAACTTTTTTCCTTTATAAACACATTATTACAGAGGTGGTTCTCCTATCCCTGATGGGATTGGCCTTAGCCAGCAGTGAGTCTGCCTTGGAATCAGCTGGCACTGGTTCTGCCAGACATGGGGAAAGCTTCTGGCAGCATCTCAAAGAAGCCACTCCTGTAGCTCTCCCCACTTCTCCCCTGCTACCAAAACTTGGCCATGCAAACCCAATACAAATAAACATGTATATGTATGCATTTTATGTATATTTCTGCTTTCATTGTTTGGACAAATTTAAACATTTTGGAGAATGCAACAGAAATGGGTGCTTCTATACCAAATACCCTTTCTGACAGCTTTCACCTCCTAAACCAGAAAAACAAATCCTTTTGTCAAAAAAAATATAACATCAGACAATACACTGATGCCCCAGACACATGAGAGTACAATTTATTGCAACATCTTATTAAGCTGCTCTGCAGTCTGACACTAAAGTCAATGTGATACTCTGCTAAACACTAGTATGAGTATCTGGCAGTCCAGAGCAGGTTAAAACCTATGCTCTTCCTTCTGTGTGTTCTTCAGAAAAAGACAAAACAAATAATTTTGTAAACTGCATTGAATTTTGCAAAGTTTAACAGAATCTGACACATCCATTTGAGATGGCTAGTGTTGTAGAGAAGGACGTTAAAGACCATCAAAATGGCATGAAGATCACTAAAACACTGCTCAAGCCCATGCCTAACCACGAGATTTTAAATGTTCATAGATTGTGCTGTTTGGGAGAAACAATATGAAACAATGTCTTGTCACAGGCCTTTGGTGCAGCAGTTTCTCCTACAGGGATGCTCACAATGGCAATAAAAGGCACCAGTGTTTTCCAAATGTGTTAGAAACTCTCTGTATGTTGCAGTATGCATCATCAACTACCTGCTGATTTCCTGCCTAATACACAGTGGATATCAAACATTTTTTCAGTGACCACCAGACTCCTGAACTGCTTTGCACAAGAAATTACTGCCCTATAAAAGGACAAAAAAAAAATTAGAATGAACTCTAAATGAACTACAGATAAAAATCTCATCTTTTGGAAGCATGCAGTGTTAAACTGCTTATTTTAGCAGCAATATTTTAAAACAAAAGAATATTTGCTGACTGTTAAACCTTTTATAAGCTAATTGTTCTACCCCTGGCTTATAGACTTCATTCCATGTATTTCTGTGTCAAAATCTGTCAAATCTGTCACATCGTCTCTGCCAAAATCTATCAAATCTGTCACATTTTTCCCTCAATGTTTATTTTCAGCATTTTTGCCCAGTCTGTTCATAGTAATCACCTTCCCAGAAGTCAAATGACATATTTACATATAGGTCATTTAGCATAGCATTATTACAAATACAACATGTGGATACTGAGTAACATTTTTGTGTAATCATAAGAACTGGATTTTAGTCTTCACTTCCTGTCTTCCTGTGAACGTAATCCATACAACAATAAAACAGCTAAACAACACAAAAACCAGTCTGTGTAATATACTGTGTTTTACTGTGTGGTAAAACACTCACTACTCAAGATTTTGGTGGGGTTTTCTCTCTTTAGTAACCAACAGTGGACTTTTTTCTAGGTCTAAGAGGAACATTAATTGCTGTGATTAAAGACTTTATTAACTTTAATTACAAATTTTTTATTCTAGAAGTACCAAATCTTTTGAAAAATTTGTGCAATCTACAAGGACAACTGAAACTGTGAAAGATGTTTTGTAGAAACTGATATCTGAAGCAGGGAAAGTGAGCTAGAAAACGTGAGTAGCATGTACTGAGTTCCCTGGGTACCTCTTTCCCTATTAATATCTGTCCATGACACACTTGGCACTGTGTCCTTTCCTCACTGATATCTCAGCTGCAGACCTTCTATCCATGAAAATTATTTTTATCATTTGCCTAGGCAATGTCCCAGTGCACACAACCAACCCACAGATGTTCTGATAAAGCAGCTGCCTGCAAACAGCATGTGTGACCGTGACTGGTAGGTTGTTATTTCTCTGGGTGTTTGCAGGCACAGCTTCTGATTTGCACAGCAGACAGTTCTGATCATGGGGACAGCACCAAAAAGTATTCAAGATGTAACATCTTTCCACTCTATTACAGACAAAAACTGTTTATCTGAGAAAGCTATGGAGTATTTAGCATTTTGGACATTAAGTCCATTTATACTCTATAATCTCAGAAGGTAAGGGTGTAGGTCTCAATGTCTATGTCTTGAACATGATTAGCAGGAGTGCTGTGGAGCCAAGAAAGGACAGCTGGTAATAACACACAAGAATTGTTGGTAATCACTAAGGATTGTTGGTACTAACACAGTGTGACAAAGAGTAAGATGGGGCTGGAGAAGGGGCCATGTAGAGGCAGCGCAGCACTTTACCAGGACAAACATTGTTTCAGTTTCTGGAGCACGACCCAGCACAGCACAAACGCAGGAATGAGGCCAAGAAGTGGGCATGGACTGTAGGGGAGAACAAGACCACCAAAGACCCAGAAGCTCCCTTCCCTTCCCTTCCCTTTTATCCCTTTAGCCCCCTGCCATGTGCTTACAGTAGGTCAGGAGCTGACATGCTGTAAAACCGCTCCACACTTTTGAAGACGCCCTGACTTTTGTCGTTCCGTTCAACCACAAGCATTTATGAAGCTTGGCTACTCTCTTCTGCTTAAGGGTGAAATGTCACATACTAGAATGCAGCTTGGGCTCCAAGAAAGCAATTATAGGGCCTGTTTCTGTAAAACACCTAGGCCCACAAAGTACACTAACATCTGTCTAACGAGGACACTTCCAAGCTTTCGGGGGGAGCCCCACGGCACCTGAGGGGCGGCTGTAAACACGGGGGAGTCGGCCGAGCCCACCAGCGGCAGAGGGGGGAGCGCTCCCCCTGCAGGGCCGGCGGTGGTACGCTCCGCCGGCGGGGCGGGGTTTCCCGTGCTCCCCTCAGGTGCCTGAGGGCAGCGGCGTAGGCGGCGATCGGCGCAGCACGGGAGGCGCTGACGTGCCTGCTACTGAATAATTCCTACATTCAGTTAATATCTGTCTGTCTATCTCTCACTCTCTCTCTCTCCATATATATATGTTTCACTGCCATGTGCAGCAAAAAATCAAAAATTTATCTTTCAAAACGGGACCATCACCTACAATAGTTTCAAAAGTGATACTGGGAAAGCATGGATGGCAAGGGGTCAAAGAGACATTAAAAGAAGGTGTCACTTTTGCAGCAGTCAAACCCATGATTTAAATCTTTAATTTTTCCCCAGTGACATAAATATCGTTCAGAACAGGAGTGGGAGGTTTAACAAAAAATGCCTTTTGAAGACATAATGTGTAATAGTAATATGCACAAAAATAACAGTGATGAGTTTTCCTGCTGGAAAAAAAATACAACATTAATAATACAACATCATTTTTAATTTGCTGTTCCAGTTCAGCAGGAGTTTTGTACCCAGTGGTACTGTTGCCAAGTGCTGAGCACATCCTGTCTTCCGAGAAAACAAGTGATGCCATAGAATAAGGAAACACACAAACAAAACAGCTCAACACAGCAGCTCCCTGAATTCTATCCTCTGTCTAAATGTGGAGAGTAGAACACAGTTTTAAAAGTATAATGAAAAAAATGATGATTGACAAATATAAGATACTGCCCATAATAAGGATTGGAAAAGTCAAAGGACCAACATTCATAGCATACATTTAGATTATCAACTAACAGAATATTAATATTCTGTTTAATATTAATGGTTAATTGTTTTAAAAATTTGAGTCCTGAATACATATTTAAAACCCCAATTTGACAAATCATTGCATGGTAGTAAGTTCCAAGTTATTAAGATTACTAATTAATTAAAAAAAAAACATTAATTTAACTAAGAAGCATTACTTTTTTCAAAGTTTACTATATTCTGTTAATTTAAAACTGTTAATTTAAAAAACTGAGCTTTGGCTTATGAATTAGTTTTAGTCTCACTGAGGAAGGAGTGGGCACAAGGAAAAAATATTAAACACACAGAACCAGTATCTTACTGCTTTGTTCAAGAAGTTACATACACACAAAAGCTTGTAGATATTGAATGAGTGAGAAAATTACTCAGTTATGTAATTTTGGTTTCTGCTTAGTGTTGTGCATTTACCTATTTCTGCCTAACTGTACTGCAACTATTTCTGTCTGGAAACTCATCCAGTTTCTGGGTAGTGAACATATTTTAACTTGTGGTTCATCTCCCTGATTGCAATTTTTTTTTATTATTTGTAAAAAGGCTGTTCATACATTTCCACATAGAAGTGGTAATTTTGTTTGGACCACATGGTTTACTAGCAGGTATTGGAATTTTTGTCTCATGGAGCCTGATGTTGAGAAATAGTTTGAATATTTTTAGAAGCATTCATGTTGTGTATTTCAGATCCATCTTGCAAATATATGTTGAAGATTTTGTAAGTAGAATTTATAAAAATAAGGGTTATGTTAAAATCTGAAACTATGTAGATGCCTTTCAAAATACTGTCTTTTTATTCTGCAGCAAGGTTTATGTGTTGCACTGATTTAACACTTGTTGTTTATAAGAAAGCATGTAAGTACCTTTAAACCTGAGTAGCCAAGTATTAGAGCATCCACACAGGTAAAAGATGCTGAATTAATATGTGCCTGGTGCATTATTCTGTCTACAGAAGTGAATCCAGGTTAACTTTTTAATTGCAGCAAACTTTCCAAATTCAACCACAATATATCAGTTTGGCAGGTATTGTTTGGGCTTTCTAACATTCATTGTATTTCCCAGAAATGCAAGATTTTAAATAGGCTAAAGTTTAGCTTCAATGCAAAAATAGTTTGAATTTTAAAAAGAATCTTCTTTGTTCTTCTTACATTTTTGCCTAACAGTTTATGTGGTGTGAATGATAAATATATTAATTTATAGATCTATTTTTTACATATATCTAGTGATCATTTGATTATACGGTCCAGAAATAAATGAATCACAGTGATGAAGAAACTATGAAGAAAACCAGTGTAGTGAACCTTGATAAACTTTTGTACGACTTCTCAGAGATAGAAAAGGTAAGTGAAGAACGTAAAAAATGTTGAGACTGCCATCTATAATTATTGTGTGATATTTTCAAAATATTTTTGAAAATGTTAAGCTGTATCAGCTCTTTAAGTTGTATCAGCTTAGTGTTATGCCTTGTAATACCAACTTCAATTGGAAAGGTGTTTGTATTGTCTGTATCCTGGAGACACAGGAGTGGATTCTGAGTGAAATCTGACAAGCCTTTGTTTCCGTGCTACAATTTTAATCATCCAGAGGCCAAATTGGCTTTCTCAGGAAGACTGTGGAAGATGGTGTTGAAGATAAACTGCGTTACACTGCTTTCACAGAATCACAGAATCGTGTGGGCTGGAAGGGACCTTACAGACCACCTAGTGCCAATCCCCCTCTCTGCTGTAGGAAGGGACACCTCTCAGTAGACCAGGTGGTCTAGTGCTGGGGTATCCTTTCAGAAGTTGTTCCTTGTTCTAGAAAAATGTCATTGCCTTATCAGGAGCATGAATTCCTACATTTCACATGCATTGAGCTTCCTTTCTCTTATGTGTATGTAATTTCTTTAAAAATTGACCCTCTGAGGAAAATCAGTACTGTTTCTTTTTAGACTGATGTTGATCAGCTTTCTGCTGATTTCCTGGTCTGCAAATCCATACTAGAGGTAGTATAAAAGGAGCATCTGAAATAAATTTAGCATTTCTTATTATACCAGTGTAGCATAACTTGTATACCAGTTCCTATTCCCACATACTGTTCAAGTTGTTGCTCTGCAAAAGTGTTGACAGCCTCATATGCAAAGCAGTAGAAAGAACCTTGAAGTGGATTGATCCAGACTCTGGGCTACAAGACTGAGAGGAAAATAGTTTATAACTCATGATGTAAGTCAGCATTCTTAGTTCTGCAGGGTAAACTTGGAACAGCAAAGGATCTCAAGTCTAGTATCATTCTTCACTGTAAAGAAATATACTGAATGGGAAAATATTACAGGCTTGGACTGCAGTATTGTTGAATTGTTAAATTTTTATTCACTTAAAAGTCAAAAGTTTAAACATGTTAATATAACATTAGTCCTTCTCCAATTTTCTAGAAAATATCAGAAATTAATGATGCAAATAACCTACTGATTCATCAGCTGGAAAAATGTAACAGATTACTAACATTAAGCCAATCAAAGGAGGAATCAGTAAAAGAGGGTGAGTTATTTTATTAGAGAGGTATGATTTTTGCATGTATTCAAGAAGTTCTGAGAGATGTTTCCATTATTTTCAGCCATAAAAAATAACATAGCAAGGATCTAAGATACTGTGTGAAAAGCAGTAATGCCTAACCTTGAATAATGTAATGAAATCCATCTCATAGTAAATATTAATATTCATATTAATTTTATGAGGATTCAGACTGTTCAGTGGATGCTAATAAAACGTCATTTACCATTTGTAGGTGGAAATGATAAGGCTATATAATTTAATTATAATTATTAATGATCATAATTAAAGAGTTGTGAAACAAAGGAGGAATTACAGGGAAAACTATAAAATTGAGATTAGTTTTATTCTAGAACTGTTTTCAGATGAGTATTTGAAATGAGAAACAATATCTAATGCTTAGCACAGATTTGTGGTTGCTTATTCTTCTGTAGTTTGTAAAGTAGCTGAAAGGGGCATCTTTTGTAGGACTTTCATCTCTGGGAAGTCAGCCTGCTAAAAATTTGGAAGCAAGGTAGGAATAAACTTAGTTTCACACAGGAGGGAGATTGCCAGTTGGGTTTTATTTCAGTCTTCACTGGGACTTGGATAATTTGGCATAATCAGGAACTAAGTGTTGAAATTGAGCTATTGAGTGAGTGAAGTTTGCTTATGATGATAATCTCTTCAGATATACCAAAAACTCATAGTACAAGATGACAGGGGAGATGGAGACCAGTAGCAGTACAAATGGGAGGCATTTTGTATAAGCAATGGTCAATGTTAGTTGGCTGCTTTTCAGGAAAGAGATCTTGGTGTCCTCTAAACAGTTCTCTTAAAATATTTGTATTCTCTTAAAATACCAGTAGACAAAGAAGCAATATACATACAGGGTAGGTATGATGATGAAAGAAAAAGATAAATAAGCATTGTGACTCTGTAAGGTCTGTGATTTTTATGTCATGTTCTGGTCCACACATCTCAAAATAGACAACAGCAGAACTAGCACAGGTAACAGAGAAGGAGGCAAGGCTTGGTATTGCCAGGAAGGAGAAAGGTACAAGGAATCAGAAACTACTCCTGTAACAAACACCATGGATGTAGGGGCATAACCATGCAAGGTTCACTCCCACTGTGCCCATGCAGGGTTGGCCCAGAGAGGACTGCCATGGTCAGCCAAAAGTCTACATTACCAAACAAGTATGTACGGATAAGAATGACTCATGAGGCTGAGTCAGAATGCAGTTCAGAAATGGTAACAAAGGCCAGACTCGGCCCAAGGATCTCTAGTTAGTACCAAGTGAAGAGGCAGGTCTGATATCGAGTCAGGAAATCACTCCCTAGGTCATGACCAGCGTCTAAGTGTGTGGCTGTCACAACTACAGCATAGGCCAAGGGCAAAAGCCTCCGTTTACAAGCAGCTCCCTTGGGAAGAAGGGATGGCTATTTTTGAATCTGCTGCCAGCCTTTTTTTCAACATCAGCATCTGTATTCTTTCTAAGACGGCCTTGTGCCCAGCCAAACACCAGAAGGTGCATGGGGGAAAATGCACCTGGGACTTTCACAGGTTTGGTCACAATTTTGGGACATCTGAGGGAAGACTTCGGTTGGTTGGGAATATTTCAGCCAGGACAAAGAATAGAGCTGATATGAATCATAGCTGTAAAATTCTGAATGTCACAGAGACACTGATTACAGAATAGAATATTCATTTTCTAATGTAATAAAAAAACTAGATGGAAATAAAACATGTATATTGATTTAAAGCTAACAAAAGGAGAAACTTTTCCACACATTACAAAATAAAGTTAAATCAGTTCCACAGAAGCCTCTGCATAACAGAAATATACATTAATCAAAAAATAATGGAAAAAATAATGGAAACAACAAACTTTTTAAACACAAAGATAGTATCTCTCATTGTCCCCCTTCATTCTGTGTTTAGGAAGTTGAGAGGATGTACTAATGATAGCTTTTATCTAGCTTTTTTTAATCTTTCCTGAATTATCTCGTAGTGTGTATTGTGAAGTGGCATCGTGAGCTGGATGGAACATTGGTTTGAGTCAGAAACACTTGTTTTTCTATTAAGCACAAAAGTCAGACAGTGCAGGACAGTCACTCAGAAACAGAAGAGGCTTCTTTATTGATGAAAGCAGAAAGGAGTGGGTTTATACAAAACAGTTTGTAAAAAAGGAAAGGTGGACAAAAAGAAGAAATAATTCTTACTGTAGAACCTATGATATAAAAAGTAGCAGAGAAAGTGAAAGAGACAACTCAGGAAACCAAAGCTGCTGGGATGACTGCAACAAGAGGGATGGACTGAAAACAGATCAAAGTCAGAAAAGAGATCTGAGCTTTGTAAACAGTATTGCCTCACTTTCATGAGATAAGAGAGAAATTATTTGGTGAGATAGTTACACTGGTATAACTGAAAAGAACAGCCTCTGGAGCTTCTTTCAAAACACCGGATGAAAAAAAAAGAAGTGTGGGTGGCAGAAGTCCAAGTAAAAATGCCAGAGCAATCAGCCTGAAATATGAACTAATGTTTCAGCAACAGGGATGGTCAGGAAAAAACAAACCTCAACAATATTGAAGTAATAGGGATAGTGCAGATATAGACAGGAGGCAGAATTGCTGTAAGACAAAGATCCTGGTCAATGAGTAAGAGTAATTGCAGAGGTATTAATAACATTGACAAAAACAAGTGAAAAGCAGGAACTTGGAACAATGTAAGACATTCAAGAGGTGCTTCTGAAAGCTGTTTGATGATAATGAAGTAAAATACGAGTAAGAGGCCAAAGGGATAGAATGTATTTAGAAATTAAGACAATTATCATGGCTGCTCTGTTAGGTTAAGCTCAGAAAGGTTGTGGAGTCTCTCCAATTGGAGCTATTCAAGAGGCATCTGGGTGCAATCCTGTGCCGTGTGCTGTGGGATGGCCCTGCCTGAGCAGAGAGGTTGGGCCAGATCACCTAGTAAGGGCCCTTTCTGTGGTTCTGTGATTCTGTACTTACTAGTAAGGTAAACTATTAGATTAATGCGCTTACCAATAAGGCAAACCCTTCAAACATCAGGGCATGAAATGCTTGTAAGTTTATGGTTTTGAACTGTATTCATTGCTAGGTGCTCAGAAAGCAGAGTTTCAAAACAAATGGCTTGGACAGAAAATTGACATAAACTGGGCAGAGACTGTCACAGGAACCTTCAGGTAAACAGTTAACATGTTACTGGAGGTGAGCAGAGGCTGTGAATAGTGGTAGTGACATTAGGAGTATTTCAAAAGGATGTGAAAAGCTGAAGTAGGGATTATAAATTAGTAAGTCTATAACATTTCTAAACCTTTTTTTTTTTCTTTTTGCAATTGATAGAAATGGTCTTTGCACTTTTATTAAATTGACCTTCCACACTGACCCTTCAAAAGAGGTAATAGAATGTGTGGTATTCAGAGTATTCAGAGTATAATTCAGTATTCAGACTCTGAATATGTGGTATTCAGAGTCAGAGTACTAAAACTTTTGCATCTAGTAGTTAAATTCTTTATAAAACCTTTTGAAAGGGCAAAGCACTGTGGGATGAAAAGAGATCCCCAAATCACCTTTAATATTTATGGGGTTATAAAGGGGTCCTCTGCAGCACTGGAGAGGCGCCAGGGACCAAATGCAGCATTGATACTTTCAGTCTTTACTCTGGCAATAGTTATCTGAACAGACTGTAGTCATGAAAATGGCTTTTATAGAATGATATTGCCAATTATGGCTTGGAAAAAATATTTCTCCTAGCCTTATGTCCCAAGCTGTTTCCCAGAACCCAGCTCAGCCACAGCTCCTGAAGTATCTTTCGAAGAGCTGGTCCAAAGGCGACAGAAGTTGCTTACAGCAGAGGAGCAGGAAGAAAGATGCTGTGTAAGGATAGGCTGTTGTTCCACCTACCCTGAAGCATTTGTGGCTACTAGTGGTAGTGGGATGAGGAAGTGGAATTTTATCCTGGCTGAAGAACACTTTGTTTTAAGAAACAACAACAAGTTTTAAGAAACAACAGCAACAACAAAAATAGTATTTCACACCCCAAGAAATCTCCAACAAGTGAGAACCTGAGGAGTCCTTGACATCCTTGTCAAAAATCTTTCCTAGAACTGTTTATGGTAAAAGAAGATTGGAAATTCTGAAAAAAACAAAACAAAACAAAACAAAACAAACAAACAAACAAAAAACCCAAACAAACAACAAAACAAAAACAAACAAACAACAAAAAAAAAAACAAAACAAAAAAAAAAACAGACAAAGAAAGAAAACCTCTAAAAATCAAGGGAGAGGACAGTGAAAGACTTATATCCAAGATAAGGTGGAAAAAGAAAAGCAGCTTGGCCTGTGTATACGCTGTCTGAAAGGTCATAAATTAACTTCATTTTCTCTTGGTATGTTCTTTGCTAAACAAAGATGAGATTCAAAAAACCAATTTTTGTTTTGTGTACATCATTGCAAATCCATTTTAGACAGGGACAAGTCTGACATCTTTGTTTTCTACTCCTAAACCTTTTCTGTGGTGGCTAAATAGATTCTTGTGATGCTACAGTTCTAAATAAAATTCTAATGTAGTTTGCTAAAACAAAGCAATCACATTTTTGTCTGTGAAACACTTAAGAAGGTTCTACTTAGCATCTTCAGGGTTGTGTGTTTGTTTATTTAGCATTTCTATGGTGTTAAAGGAAAAAGTGGTTGATATAATTGCCCTATAAAATAATCAATTATAAATGCAGATGAACACTTATGCTGTTGTCTTTCTGCATGTTGGTGCTATACCTTACAGGGAATGAGCTACACAGGATCCATAGCAGATGCTGTGACAGTGATCCACAAGGCTGCAAACATTAAGAAAAATTCTGCTTCTTTTCCTTAATGTAGGCAAGCAAAACTTGTGGGTTCCCAGGAATTTTTTTCCAGTCGCAAGTTTAAGTACAGTCTTGGGACTGTACAAAAGAGTGGCTTACACTTAAACAGTTGTGATTCTTTTTAAAGACTAGCTGGTGCTCTAGTGTTGACTCAGATGTCTTTCCAAATTGTACAAGAATTACAAGCAGCTGAGTTATTTTCCATACATTTTCAAATCGGAGGAAATTTGTAATAGAACTAGTTGGTACGGGCATGCTGATCCCGTCATTCCGACTTTCAATAGGATTTTTCCACAGTTGCTTTTGATCTGGACAGGAACTGACGGCAGGCAATGTTTCTGTGCTGCTCGTGCTCCCTCTGCTGTTGTTTTTGGAAGCACGGAACGGGAAAAGGTATCTGGCTAACGTACTCGGCTGCATGAAAAGCAGACTTGATGGAAGATCAGGCTGACAGTCAAAAAGACTGAGCAGAAAACTGAACCTGTTAGCCGGGATCTTAGTTCATCTTCCTCACTCCATTATTTGTAATGTAATCTTTAGTGATATGATAGACAGTTTTCAAAAAGGCTTTAGTTTGATGAGATGAGTAACTGCTATTTAGCAAACTTTTATGTGTTGTGGAAATTAAAAGCCATTTAAGAAATGCAGTGGTACTCAGGAAAGAGAAAGAGAAGTTTTAAAAGTAAACAACCTCAGTTGTAGAGCCTCCACTGTTCTCAGTCTTTGACAGTTTTGTGACTACTGATAAACTTACAATGAACATAAGGGATAAAAGTCATATTAATGAATTAATTCTATATTACAGGAAGTACACATGGTGTTTGAATATTAAAAACACAGCTTTAGAAATAAAATTATGAAATACAACGTATGTGTATAAACTGATAAAAGCTTGCATGTATTTTTATTTATTTTCATTTATTCTGTTGTATAAAATGAGATAATGGAGGCATAGCACATATTCTGAATCTCTCAAAGCTTATGTTGAGCTATAAGATGAATGTTACATGCATCAAGAAAGGGGTAAAAAAGGGGTGAGAGATTGCAATGAGTGGATTCTTTTGGTCTTGTTAAAAAGAAAATTGGCAAAGAAATACTGTCAGGAAAGTAAGTCTCAGTTTCATTAAATATATCAAATTGCTGGAAGGCTGATATGGAAAACTTCTAGTACTGCCCAGAAAACAAAAGATATTTGATTTCTGACTAGAAACAAACATATAATACTTTTATGAAATTGTTTGTATTGCTTCATAAAATTGATTTTAATCAAGCATCAAACTAAGAGCTAAAATTAAGCAGTAACCACCTAATAATAATCTGAGTAATTTCTACAGTCAGTAAAAATACTTAGAGTAATATTTAACCAAAATTATTATAAAATATTTGATAAAATTTTGTAAACAAAATGTAAATTTGTGAAGACACTATTAAAAATGCTGGATCTTTCATTTCTTTCAGAATGCAGTGCTCTACAGAATGTGATAAAGGGTCTAACACAAACCATTGAAAACCAGTGTAACGTGAAAGGTAAAGGCAAAAAATGCTATTTTATATAGGTGCTGTACTGTAATTTCGAAGAAGCAGGCATTTAATTTTTTCATTTATATTTACTGATTTATTTCAGACACAGAAATTTACTGACAGGCAAAGAGAAACAAAAAAAAATATCTAAAATCAATCTTGTGCAGTAATAAATATCTATTGCCATTATTGCCATAGTTTACTTAGTAACTCCCTCCAGGAGGTTATTTTAATCAACAGCTGGGCTTTCAATTCATTGTAGTGTAACACAGGCAATTTTACAAAAGGTGAGAAAGTATCATTCAGATGTTGGATTGTAGACTATTCAAGTGTTTATGCACATTTTTTATCACTTTGTTAAACCAGAGTGTCTTAATCCTTAGTTTATAATGTTATTAAATGTTATTGCTGTTATCTACATATACTTGAAACTAATTTATACAAGTACTAATTTTTACTTGAAAAAAAAATATTTGATATATCTTTATACTGAAGCTCAGCAATACACCATGAAGTTAATTTTATAATTAATTATTATAAATTATATGCATTCAAGACATATTTGCATGTATGTTAATAAATCTCTAACATTTTAAGTATATTGATGTTTTTAATACTCAAACTGATATTAATAATAAAAAACCCCTATTTTCTTTAAATTCTGTGTTTGCATACTGTTTTCTGGCTTTTGGGAAACAGGTACTTAAGAACTTGCATCTTCCAATTTGAAACTGTTGTAGCTATTATAATAGCCTTTTATTTTCTGAGTCGAAGAACTTTGCATCTAGATTTTCTTGAATGCATCATTTATCAGAAGACTAAAGAAAGTTTAAGTAGTAATACCAGGTAAATATTATGATTAAAATTAAACTATGATTTTTCTTGTTAAAAAAATGGAAACAGACAGTATGTGGTTCTGTAATGATGATTATACTGTTACAAAAAAAATTCTCAAAGTTCAGCCAAGTCAAAAAATGCAAGTAATTTCCTTATTCCTCTTTCATGCTAAAAAAATTGTCAAAATGTACTTTTTAGTGTATCATATAGTTTTTGTTTATGTAGATGAAAATGATAGACTGAAGGGAACCATTCACATCTTGGAAGATAAATTAAAGACTTGTGAAGAGGTATGTCACAAATTATCATTCTTTAGGTAAAGGAATAATACTGCATCTCTATTATGCTGTATGTCTTTTTGTTTAGGATTTGATATTGATACTTTTATTGGTGCTCTTCTGTTAATGTTTTTCATGTGTAAAAAGAGAAGGGTTGTTCTCATGACAGTATCCATGTGAGAAGGTGTTAGAAGAACTAGGAGGTTAAAACTCATTGATGCTGAGAACTTTGGCTCAATCTAAGATGCACTTGGGGTTTTTTTAGCTGTGTTTAGCTTTAAATTCAACTTCACCTTCATTATTCTAATCCCTTGCACTAAAATAATTTTTCATGTGGAAATAGGGTTTTCACACTGAAGATGTCTGGTTGTGCTGCCAGAGATACAGGAGTGGTCTGAATTTTGTCCTGTTTATTCAAGAATAAATACTACAAAGATAATAGGTCTCTATTTCTTATCTGTACCTCATAATAAATTCCTTATATGATATCTGTACTTTGTATCTATGGCACTCATTTTTGCAAAGGAGGTAAACCAGCAGCACTAGTCATAGTTCTCTGTTTTCATAATTCTCTGTGTGGAGAGTGCAGATCTGTTTTCTATTTAGGATCAGGAATCTCACTGATTATATCCTTTGCCTGTGTTTGTGCTATTAGTTAAACTTAAATATTAGTACCAGTAGAGCTATTATCTTGACTCTTTGAGTAAAAAATGAGTAATGTCTTGTGAAGGATGTGATAAATTATTATTCCCTCATTATACATGTGTGAGTACAGTAGGACCTCCTAGAGTCAGTCTGAAGGCGCCTGACTGTGTCCCCACGTACTGATCCCCAGTCAGTGACTGCCGCGGTGAGCGCCCAGGCATTGCTCTGGTGAGTGGCCGTCTTGTCAGAAGGCTGCAACGAGAGCTTTGGAGTCAGCACCTCGACAGTGGCAGCTACAGACAATTCCTTGAAAATTCTGGAGTCGTTATTGGAGTAAATTTGTAACTGGCATCTTCAAACTTTGAACATCAGTGCCAGCAGCATTACTGCTGCTGGTATCACTGATGTGTCTACTGCTGCCAGCAAGAAGTTGTGGAATCCTTTGTATAAGCAATACTAACAAAATTCTCCCTTGAATCATGCAATCCTTCAGTCAAAAATCCACAAAGGTGAAACTGTAGTCCCTTAACTAAATGCATCATTGTGTCAGATCCTTTTCTCAGGAAAGGACTATTACCTCTCCATTTGCCTGTTCTCCTAAGAAGTACAGTTTGTAATTTTACATTAACAGATAGTTGTAATACAATGAAATCTGCATTATTTTTTCATCTGTGGACTTCAGCCAGACTGTGAAAGAAGTAAGTGGGCATTTAAATTTACAAGATTGAGGATAATGAATTATAGAGTACTGTATATTTTTACATGATGGTTGTGCTTTGCAAAAGGCTAAGAGCACAGAAACTGCAAGATCTTTATAAAACATTTTACATTTACAGGAGTACAAAGATCAAATTGAGAAACTCATGACAGAAATTAAAAACAAAGAGGAAGACCACAAATTAGAAATAACACAGTTGAATTGTGATACAAGGAAAAAATGTAAGTTCTCTGAAGACTGAATGCTTTAGCAATGTCACCTGTAGGTGCTACGTTTTGTCTAGGATAAATACGAGTTCCATTTCTTAGTGGAAACATGTGAACACTAGAAGTGGGCAGTGTTTAATGGAAATTTATCTTTGCTGAAGGAAGCAGAGAGTGGTAATGAAGCAATAGTACAGCAACACAGGATGAGCAGAAATTCCCAGATAGGTAGAACAAATGCTGGGAATGTGGCATAAAAATCAGAAGGAATGGAATTTTCAGTTATGTATCAACTGGAACCTTGCTTTGAACTGTAAGCTACATTGCTGTTCAAATCTTCTATCTGTGTTCAGGAGAGCAGAACATTATTTTCACAAATAAGTAATACTTCAATGAGGAAAAAACTGATTTCTATGTTCATTTGCTCCATTAGAGCCTTAAAAAGTAGGATTTTTTTGTCATCCATATAGGTGAAAACAAGGAAAGTTTTTGTAAATTATGTGCCTTTTTTAAAAAGACACCATCTTACTGGTGTCTTTTTAAAAGGACAGTGTGGTTTTGATATAGTTTCAGTATGGTTTTTGCTTGTTTTCCAGTGAAATGTTGGCCTGATGTTCAAGAGAGTTTTAATATTTAGAAAATGATGTTAATTTTTCATCTATATAATTTCATCTATTATAATCATAATTTTGGTGTTACTGTGTTGCTAGTTGAAGTAAAAGAAATGGAGTACAGAGAAGAGAGAGAGAAAAAAGAACTGGAAATATTAGAGCTAACTAGACAGCTGAAAATTCAAAATGAAGAGAAGCAGAATGAAATAATTAAACTGCAGATAGAGGTATGCATTACAAAGCTGACTTAAAGATGAACTGGGCATTGGGTAAATTTCAAAGAGACTTTGTAGTGAAAAAATATTAATTAGTACATAACAAAGTAATACGATGAAATCTAGAAAACTTAATTATTTATTGTCTTTATGAGGATCAGTGGCAGGTGCTCCCTTCCACAATGGTAACTGGCTCCTGCTCAGGAGTCAAGTTCCACCTACTGTATAGGGAGACTGAAGGTTGCTGTCTTTTGTTCCAAATTAAATTACTTAGAAACAGTTTTTGATCTTGAGCTATTAAAAAAATTCATCAATGTTTTCTGCTTAACTTTCTTTTTTTAAAATTTCTGAATGGTGAGAATATACATATTTTTAAATAAAAATTCCAATAAAAATTTCTAATCCTGCAGAGATTTGAGACAGAGCATTCAGCATGTATTTCATTGCTCATGTTTTAAAACACTCCCATTACAGAAGGAATTAAGGAAATACTTCAAACCTTTCACACATCAAAACAGAAATAAGATATGGAAGTGTTCAGGCTGACTTATCCTTGGAACATAAGAGAAGAATGATGGTTCTGAAGGATTCTAGTATCTTCTGTATTTTCTCCTCCTGTAGATATGTGGCTGAGAAGCCTTCAATTTTATTCCTTTTTTCAGAAGCATCTTTTTTACCTACATGGTTTTAGTTAATCATATTTGTAGTACTTTTGCAAAACTTTGGGGCTTTTTAAAAATTTTTTTTAAAGAAATACAGCTTGTAACTGCATTCTTTTTAAAATAAACATAAGTAGCCTTGTTTTTCTAGACTTAGTAGAAAGGCTTACTGCTACTGCCCTCAGGTAAAAAAAATGCAACCAATAAAAAGTGAAAATTACACTTGATATATTTAATACATCTTTTTCCAACCCCCGTTCATTATCACCGTTTTGTCTTTGCCTGATTCTTTCAGTTCAATGCTAAATTGGCAAGAGCTCAGGATAAAACCACCAAGTCCTTTTCAGAGGCTTCAGTCTTACCACAAAGTATCTATCGAAGGGTAGGTGCTTTCATAGTGTGTAGCACACAGATACTGTTTCAGGGTGTTTGAAGCAGGAGTTCTCGGGGGTTTCTCTCCATGTGTTCTCTCCCACACACCCCTCCCACCTCTACACAATTCAATTCATAGAATCATAGAATAATTTAAGGTAGAAAAGGCTTTTAAGATGAACTCCAACTGTCATGGCTCCTGACATACTGATAGTACTGTGGGTAAGCAACAATAAAAAGCAACATGTGAGGTGTTACTACAGAATTGTTAACCTGGAAAATTAAACTAGAACTGACATCACTGACACTGATATAATACTCTGCGTATGTTTTTGGGGTTTTTTTTGGTTTGGTGGTTTTTTTGGGGTTTTTTTTTTTGTTTTTTGGTTTTTTTTTTTTTTTTCGGCTTAAGACTTTGGGATGGCAGAAAACCAGGATTCTGGGGAAATAGTTTTTGTAATTTTGTGAAACAAAATACCAAGGAAAATATTCTTATTAGAATATATCTTACTTGCAGTAGTAAAATGTATTGTTACATAATTTTATGTGATGTTTAAGAATGAAGCTTTTGCCTGCACTTTTACAGAAGCTGCAGCATCTCCAGGAAGAGAAAAACAAGGAAATTGAAATCCTCCGAAACACGATAAGAGACTTGGAGCAACGTCTTAATAAAGGCCAAGACCTGCCCTTCAAACGGAGGAGATTCTGACTTAAATGACTTAAAGTATTTCAGTGTTTCAAATTCTGCATCTCAAAATAAAAACAAGATATGAAGAAAGTATGTTTTATTGAAAACACTCTTGTCAAACATTCCAAAGGCATGCATTCTGTGTACATTCAAAGCTACTCTCTTGCTAATCAGCATTCACAATAAAAAGATTCAGGTTTTGTAGGAGTAGTAATTTCCCTATTAAACCATCATTAATTATGGTGTATGCTTTCATAGCAGTTTTCTTTTCATGAATATTCTCTTCTTCATCCAGGAATCCTTCAAACAACTGAATTTACTTCCATTCAGTTAATCAAACATTAGGAATGCTAGGCTGTAGACAGAGAAGTTATACAGGTTTAAGTGGTATATTATGTTAATTGATGCAGATTGCTAATTGATACAGACTTATCCATTTCAGCACTGTTATAAACAAAGATCAACATTACACCAAGATTAAACTTGTTTCATCCCACCCTCTTTTTGATTCTGACTCTCAGTTGTTGACTCTACTTCTCACTTCAGGATGATCTAATTGATTTAGTAGGATTTTGCGTGCTGTAGCAGTATTTATTAATGGACCCTCTTACTGTATCTAAGAGCCACAAAGCTCTTAGCTTTGTTAAGAAAGCTTTGTCAAAGTTAAGTATATCAATCTGTTACTTAAAAATAAAGTAGTTACTGTCTGTATATTACATTTTTAATGTAGAATTATTCTGTCACATTGCTTAGGAGTAAGTTTTGCTTGTACATGATTTGTATCCCCAGGTTAGAAAAAAAAAAACAAACTCAACTTTCACATCTATTGTCTTCTTAATAAAAAATGATTAAAATATCTGTCTTGGTTATCTTCTGTTCCTGATTGCAAAACATCAGACAGGAGCCCCTAGGTCATAGTTTATGCTCCTGTCCTCACAAATGCAAGCAGAAACATGTTAGAAGAGAAACAGGAAAGACAAATTAACCAAGAATGCAGACACCTTCCCAGTGGAACTGAAAAACAAACTAGGGGTCAACCAAATTCCTTTAAATCATGACACTTTTCACTGATGGAATTTGACAGATATTCAATCATTCTAAGAGCACTGCTCTAAAATACCCTTCTGTGCAATATACCCATACCTGTCAGCATAATCTTGAATTTGGGGCAACAAAAACACATAATCTGTTCATTTTTCTCCTCTGCTCTACATTAACTGAGTTAGTGTGACTCCCTTGTTTCTGGAAGGTGCTTAGTTTGTTTTTCAGGATCAGTTCCTTGCCTTTTCCTGTCACTGTCAGGTGTCACTAGTTTCACTTGCTCCTGCTGGTGATGAATGTCAGGCAGCAGAGAGCAGACGGCACTGTCAAGACTCAGTGACGTCCTCTGCTGCCAGCTGCCCGTGTCACCTGCAAGAATTTGGTAGTGCTCCACGACACTGTCAGGTGACAGAATTCCCTAGCTCTTCAAACAGAAGGTGTCGACAATGACAGGATCAGCTACTAGAGGTAGAGTCTGATCCTGTCTGCCAATTTCAAGTTAACTGGTTTTTGCAGATGGTTTTCCCTTTCTTTCGTAGTTTTTTATCTTGTGGAATTTCCACAATTTCTCCTGGAGGGGCAGTGTCTACGTGCTCCTGACTACCTATCTGATCGTGTCTGTGGCGGCCAAAGAGCCTGTGGCGCCAGCCGCTGGGAGGATGATGTCTCTCAGTTTCAGCAGCAGCCTGGTGGTTCTCGTGTTTGGGATCACGACTGCCCTTCTGATGGTGATGGTGGTGGTGGCGGCGGTGGTGGTGTCCATGTCTGTGTGGGTTGCGATGGGAATGCTGGTCTGTCGGCTTGGATTCTATCTCTGACAGCTCTTCAACTGCTTTTTTAGTGATGTTTTCACAAACACCATCAGTATCAGGCTCCTGCAAAACAGATGCTTCCATTAAGTACAGGGCACTGTATTCAATTAAACTAGAGGTAAAGTATTAACTGACATTTTTGCAGAGCATAAACGGCACTTTTAAGTTATTTGTGCTATTTTGCTGAAGATATGAACATATCAAAAATAGCCTTGTGCTGTCACACCACTGTCAACTAGACAGGGCTTTTTAGCAATTATCATTCCAGTAACTGCTAATAACAAGTATTCTTATCCTAGATCCTACATCTGACCTGTCTGTGGTCTACATTTAGCCAGAATGCTGCATAATGGGATCAAAAATTATTATTTTGTTGAACTTCCATGAAGTATATACATTTCTTGACAATCCTTCAAAGTATTTCTGGTCTTGAATGATTCATTAAAGAAAGCTACCCTTCTTTCATAATTTGCCACCTTGTATTATCACTTTTTAAAAATAACTCCTATAGACTGTGTTTAGATGCAAACTATAATGAATAGTAATGCAAGCCAGCTTGAATTTGATTCCTGGGTTTTAAAAAAAATACGTACTTACCCATCCCACAAAATTAGAGTAGTTAATTGCTCACTACCTCTATAGCTCTACAAACAGAATTATTCTCCAAGATTTCATTTACATTTCTGACAATTACTTGCATTTCTATCAAGGACAGGAATTCATATAATCAATCAGTCTATTAGAAATCAAATCTAATTTGCTTAGAAAAATGTTTAAAAGCTATCTGTCAAGATGCATGAAATGTGTAAATTTGAAATCATATATTTTTGGATTAATCACACTGACATAATTTTTAAGTACCAATCAAATCCACTTTTCTATTATACACAGAATGAGACAAGAAAATACCATGTAAGAGCAGTTTCCACACTTGTTTTCACAGTATGCAATCTTAATGGATTCTTCCACATACTGAAAATGCAGGAAGGAGTAGGGCATACCCAGATGATACACGAGACGGCCGCATCTAAGGAGAGAAAGAACCCTGTGGTTACAAAAGCCTACAACTAAATCTCTCTTACAGTATCTCACTTTATTTGAATCAAACCACGCAAACTGTACAGTTCCACAGGGAGTGTTTCTGTTCCAGTTCACAGGATTTTCCTGTGAATTACAAATTCTTGCCTGCTCACCTGCACTGGCCAGGATGTGAAGCATGATTGGCTGATGTGGTAGCTGCACTGCCAGAAGCCTGTCCTTCAGTGGCACTTGAGACTGAGAGAGGTGCACTCGTTACAGACCCATTGGGATAATGAGAAGGGGTCTTTGCAGAGTGGTTGCTGCATTCTTACCATGTGTTTTTTATGCAACCTGACAGGTTTTGTGACTGAGATGGGCACTGCAGTGCACCTGCATTACTGATTTATTGTGAATGGGGGGATTGTTATGGGGCCTGCTGGCCCCATGTCTGCACTTGAGCGTTCTGATATGCACTTGACTACACAACTGATCTGCTCAAAGGAGCTGGAGAAAATACAGAACCTGTACACAAGGGCAGCTCGTTCACTGTCAACACACAGTCCCCTGGCCTTAGCTCCCCACATGTGGACTGCACATTTAGGACCAGCAGCAAGCAAAGCTTTCGTAGCTAAGGCACAGTGAGAACACAGGCTCCTGTTCATGGATCACAGCCAGGCTAGTGCTTACCCAATTCATAATGTACACATACTCTGTGTGTCAACAACACAGAACTGGTCAACCTTTCAAATGCTCTAGGCAAGGTGTCTGGGCCCCCTCCCAGATGAAATACAGCACTGTTCTGTTTGTCTGTTGTATGACATCAGCCTTCATTACTTGAGCATATTTGCTGCTGCAACATTTAAGATTGTTCATTTCACTGCTAGTTTCATCCCACAAACCTAATGTAGCTAATTCGCTTAAATTCATCACATTACAGAAAAATAATAACTTTCTAACTCTGTATTAAGCTTATGTATGGCTTAGTATGAACTTGGAATGTTCATTACAGTAATATAAAGTAACAAGGATAAACATGTTTCAAGAGTAGGATTTTTCAAGTAACTGCCATCATATCAAAATGGAAAAATTGGGATTTCAACTACAGTTCCTACTGGTGCTGCCAAAATACACTTGTGACAGAAACCTATATCAAAAAGCAATTTTCTTCTGAAGTTTTAAGTTTTACCTAAAAACTAATTTTTCTTATGTCTACATGGCATTTTCAACAACTCTCATCAAAAAGTTTCCATGACATAAAAGATTCTACTTTGATATGCATGGATGTAATGAAGTTATCTGAAAATAAAAACACCACAAAACCATGAACATGTTACCAGATTTTACGCTTACTTTTGTTCATCTAAATCCACAGTAATTATAGAGAAAAAAAAAATTATTCCAAAATTACTTATGCAAAAGCAGATTTTGCTTTTGTAGCTTCGTTTTTCCAGTAAATGCTAGCACTTTATGTAGTTCAACTTAGAAGCTGAGCATGATGTTTTTGTTACTTTCAGATCAATGTAATAATACAGAGATTTGCAAATCATAACACAAAATATATGCAAATATTTTCCCATGTTTGTCTGTAAGCACACACCTGTCATAGATGAGAAAGTCATCCTTGTTTCCATTTAAAGTAGTCCAGACATCCTCTTGCTGCTCATCTTGCTGGTAGACAGTAATGTAGTCTGAAACACGTTCTTTTAGTAGGTGAAATTCCCTCCGGGATTGAGCTCCTTGATGGTTGACAATCACATACGAGATGTTGACCAATCCTTCATTCTCTAACTTTACTCGCAGGTCCTCCAAACTAGTGGGAATGTAAAGAAGCAAGACAATAAATCATTACAGAATCATGAGATTTGACACAAAAGTTAATATGCTCCATCTTGCTTTTATTACAGATGCATGATGTGGAGTTTCTTCCCTTTCATTTGTATTTTTCCCATGGAATTGCTCTAGAAATCTTTTATTTTTCAGTTATGGGAAATAGTCTAGAATGTGGAAGATTCTTTAAATTTTTTCTAAAATTAAGAACCAAACCCAATTACCTTGAAAGCCAAACACAAAGCCCACTTTTAACTTCGACGGAGCCACAGATTTACCACTATGTTTTCAAATCAAATTCTTAATAAATTTGCAAAGCCTATTATGATATGTAAGTTGTG